ACGGCCCGCTGGTGCGAAAGGGTCCCGAGACTGTCTGTTAGAGGAGAGTCATCGATCAGTCGGACCACCCTCCTCTGGGCAGCATCGAGCATGGACAATGTAGTCGGGACGGCAGCACCCCAAACGTGTGAGCAATACTCGAGGCTAGACCTTATCTGGGCCTTGTATAGAGTGAGAAGGTCATGCGGAGAAAAGTAATTCTTAGCCCTAAACAAATAACCTAGCTTTTTCCCAGCAGCTGCTGCTATGGACGAGATGTGTTCGTGCCAGATCAGGTCCTCGGTGATCTGGACTCCGACCAGCAGAAAGGAATGGCTCTTTGGCAGAACTTGGCCATCTATCGAAACCGGATGAGCGCAAGGACGCTTTTTGTTCGTCAAAGTACAGTATTGTGTTTTTAAGCATTGCACAAAATTGTTGCGTTGTTAATATATATATATATATATATGTATAATTTTCAGAATGCGATGAACTTGTTGAAGCATGTAGTATCTCAGAGATCGAAGTCAACTCATTCATTTTAGTAAAATTTACCATGAAGAAAATCCTTTTTTTATGCTTTCACTATTGTTTTTACTTCTAGTTTCATCCAAGTATCATGGAAAAGTGGCCACTGTTCCAGACTGTCCCCTACAGATAATTTTTTAGATAAGTGTTACTTTTAATTTAGTCTACAGAACATGAATTTAGTATATTTAGTGTTTTGATAGGTAAATCCGATTTTAAAATGTGTTGGAGTTAGTCAATTCCATTGAATTTTTGCTTGCTTATTACGAAGCTGTTTATGGAACTTTTTGATTATTCATAAATTAATAATAAATGATTATAAATAATAATTGACTTTGTACATAAATATAGTACAAGTATACTTTTTAATTAACTCCATCTGTTTCAGAATGAATCACCAAGCGTCTAAAATGCTTTTATTGGCCAGACATTCAAGAAGAGGCCGATACAGAAAGTGAAGCAAAAACAGGCAGTGTGTTGTTGTGATACTTTTGGTCAAGATCAGGATTTCTCCACTTAGTTTACTGATAATAATAATCTAGTCAGTACCTCAGCATCTACCGAATACTTATTAGCTGCTGACAATTTAATTACTGATGGTGATTTACTCACCCTAGCTGAACAAGAAGTTGGTAACTTGAATTATATGTGCTCAAATAATCAGAGTGAAATTTACGTTGACCCAGAAATTCAGCAGAGTTTTGTTCACGAATCAACTGCTGGTGAAGACGTCCAAAACTATTTTGGAAGATATTGGAGCCTCTAGTCGACCAGATAAATCATATGAACTCAGTAAAAATGAAACTCTATCAAGTGAAGATGCAGTATTAGAAGAACCACAAAACAACATTTCAACGGAAACCCTTTCAAGGACACGCAAAAAAGACGTCATGTGGATCATAAAGAATGGAAGAAAAATAAAAATAAGATATTGAGGCAGGAAGGAAAGGAGTATTTTGGTAAGAAAAGGCAAGAAGACATTCTAAAAAAATCAAAAGCTATAGGACCTAGGTGCAAATGCAATGGTAAACCAGTAATGAAATGCAATGCGATAACAGAAGAGCAAAGAACAGAATTTGTCACTATTTCTAATGACGCTGTTCCTATGTTTATTTTCTTCACACAACTTCCAAAGTAATAGTCTGTAAAACGATGCTTTGCAACACATTTGCTATTGCGCCTAGTTCTTCGCACATTATTTGATTGAAGAAAGTAATTCACACTATGCTTCAACGATACGCATGATAATTTCTCCTAAAAATTTAATCCTGGGACAGCGAAATCAATGAACAGAAGGAACATTTAGGGTATTGTCGGGAACAGTGGCTCAGTCGGGTACAGTGGCTCCATTCAATATCTCCAAAACGAGAGAGACTATCTATCTGTCGCAGTCATCTACATCAAGTGTTTACGACACAAATGCGCATGAACCAGTCGGTCAGCAACTAAAGCACTGATAGCACAAGTCTCGCCTTTGTGTTGGTTTTCAGGTACCCAAAATTACATTTCCAGGTAAGTTTGACTTTAAAATTCTAGCTTAATTGCTGTAGTTTATTATTTATTTATATTTTGTAGTAAAGTAAGTAGAAGCAAGATAATTTTAACTTTGCTTAGAACAGCCAGTGCAACGTGAATATGGCACAGAAGACATATATTTCAAAATGGCGTCACGGTCGACAGTGGCTCAGCACGTGGAAGTACACAGTGGTTCACGAGCCACTGTGTACTATTAGTGAACCATTGTGTACCGCTTACTTGAATATTTGTTTCAGAATGCCTCGCAAGAAACGGGCAATGAGAAAAATTGGCAACAGCTCCGCTGCAGACGTTAAAGCTGGGGTACTATTAATAAGGCAGGGTATGTCTATCAGAAAAGCAGCTACGAGTTGTGGTGTGCCATTTACTACCCTGAAGAGGTATTATTGGAAAACTGCTGGTTCCGAAAATCTCGATGAGGAGCGATTGGAGCCGAATTATTCTGTGAACCAGATCTTTACCGCATCCCAAGAAGAGAAGTTGAAGGAATATTTTTCGCATTGCGCTCTTCTGTTTTACGGATTAACTGCAAGAGAATGTCGTCATCAATGTGCTAAGCTAAATAATATAAAGATGCCTAAATCTTGGACAGACAATGAAATGGCGGGTAAGGACTGGTTAACTTTGTTCAAACGTAGGAACAGGTTTTCTTCCAGGAGACCAGAACCTTGTAGCCTAGCAAGAGCTACAGCCTTCAACCGAAACAACGTCAATAATTTTTACAATAATTTAGAAGATCTGATCAAGAGAAACTCGGCTTTTGCAAATGGTACCCGTATATTTAATCTGGATGAAACATCAACGACAACAGTGCAAAAGCCTCAAAAAGTAATAGCACCATTAGGCAGAAAATGCATTGGAAAAGTCACAAGTGGTGAGAGAGGAACTTTGGTAACCACATGCTGCATTGTAAGTGCCAGCGGCAACGCTTTGCCACCAGTTATGATATTTCCTAGGAAAAAATTCAAAGATCATATGATCAAAAACACACCTGCAGGAACACTCGGCTTAGCAACGCCTAGTGGATGGATGAACGCGGATAGTTTCACAGAAGTAATGAAACATTTTATCAAGCATACGAACTCTTGCAAAGAAAATCCTAGTATGTTGGTAATGGATAACCACGAGTCACATTTGAGCATTGAAGCCATACAGTTGGCAAAAGATTGTGGAGTCAATCTCCTCACTATTCATCCCCACACTTCGGGGAAATTACAACCACTTGACGTGGGAGTATTTAGCGCGTTCAAAGTATATTATAATGCTGGCATCGATTCCTGGCTTATGACACATCCTGGAAAGCCTGTTACCATATATGACTTAGGTGAAATCATTGGGGCAGCCTTTCTTAAAGCAATGACCCCAACAAACATTACCAGGGCTTTTGCAAAATGTGGTATTTACCCATTCGACAGAAACCTTTTTACAGACGAGGACTTTCTGCCAAGTACAGTAACAGATCGTCCAGGTCCCTGTTCAGACTGTTTGCCACGTGAAGAAGGGCTCATAAACGTAAACATCAATTCAATGAATGTCATCGAGTTGGGAGCACCGGAAGAGACCACTACTGCGCACTCATCGGAGCATTCTATTTCACAGACTTGTGCAACATCAGAAAAACCATGCTCACCAACGTTGGGTACTTCGACGACACAACCAAGTCAAATTGAAACCACTGTTGTGTCTATCAACCATCAATCCATTTCTAAAGAAGTGGAAACGAAGAACCTGTCCGATGAAGATTCAATTTTGACAAAAACAAAAGTATCCAATACCGTTTCAGTTCCATCAGGACTCCAGTCATTAAAAATATTAGCTCCTGAAGTGCTCATATCAGCAATTTCTTCGAACAAACTTCCACCCAAGCCATATATAATTACCCCGACACAAGACGTTGCTTTGACACCATCCATTTCTCAATCAGCTGAGAATACTTTTACATCTCCGTTTGAGTTTAGAGACCCAATAAAGGCTGGACCTAGAACAACTACCCGCAAGCGAAGGAAACCAGGCCGTAGCATGATTCTTACTGACACACCGGAAAAAGTTCGTCTAGAACAAGAAAAAATAGCTGCTAAAAGTAAAAACACTAATAAGAAGGGAAAAGTCACTCGAAAAGTATTACAAAGTGATGAAGAAGATAATGATCAAGAGAAGGAAACAGTGGAATATGCTGAATCTGATGATGATACAGACTGGGCAGCAGAAGATGAAGACGAAAACTCTGACGAAGAATCAGTTATTATAACTGAAAGGCACCTAACCAAATCTCTAACTCGTGCGCCACTAGAGGGCGAATATGTGATTGTACAATTTACAACAAAAAAACTTACATCGCTTTACGTTGGAAAGGTGATAGAAGGTAGAAATGAGAATAATGAATTCTACATATCATTTCTGAGGCGTACGCCTGGTACTAGCAAATTTCACATGCCTGATAAGCCTGACCTTTCTGTTATAAAAGAAAGTGATTTGAAATTACTTCTGCCAAAGCCTTCAATTGTTGGCACTTCTTCTAGGCCGTACTATAATTTTGGACTAGATTTATCCCAACTTCGGATATGCTAAGAGGTATAAGGGTTATGGAGTTATTAATTTTTATTTTTGACTTGTTCTACAAACTTTCATCATTCGATGAGCTTAAGGAGTAAGATTGGTTTTTGTCTCTGATTGTAATAAAAGTTTTTTTTAACATTATAAGTACAAAAGAATACTTACAAAGTAATGTGTACATTTGTAAGTTAAGTAGAAGACTTAATTTTATTTGCTTGCTGATTATTATTATTGTTATTATTTATGCTTACGATGAGACTTATTAAAGTAGAAGTTCTTCAGTGTTTTGTAAGGCAAATAGGAGTCTGATGTATGTGTGATTTTGATTATTTCAATGTTAACAGCTACGATGCGCTCATTTTGTTTTTTAATATAGTAATGGGAATAAGTTTATTTTGATCAGTGTTTTTTCCGAGATATTCAAATGTGACTCAGAAATAAAGATTTCAACAGCATTCCCGTACTTTTGATTAACTCGGTTTGTCTTGAGTCTCTGTGTACTGTTAGAACCACTGTGGACCACTGGGGTGTGTCACTGTAGCACCCTACCTGTGCACAGTGGCTCATTTCTAATTTTTTACAAAATCATTATTAGTTGTTTTTTGGCACCCTTTGTGGACATTTCGATGGCACAGGATAAAAATTTCATAACCTCTGCCCACATTGGCCGAGTTTCAAGCCATTTGGTGAAGACTCGATGAATATTAGAGTCAACTGAAAAAAAGTGAGCCACTGTTCCCGACAATACCCTATGTAATTTCTTTAAGGTTCTACCATAGCTAGAATGACATTATTGTAGAAAGTCCACAAAGAAATTATACCTTGAAAGGAATTAGCAAACAAAACTGGAATTATATCGATTTTATAAGCATGACTGGTGCAAAAGAAACGACTCAAAGCCACTATCCATTGCAGCCTTTAACAACAGTTTCGACGATTGCAAAGGAGGAGGAAGCACGAAATGAAAAAGGGGTTGGAAAAAGAAAAGATTTAAAGGTTTTTACGATGAATTTGCAATCAGTTTTACCGAGTCCAAAATCCAATGGCAGTGCTCCTTATTATAACACAAAATTAATAGTGTATAATTTTACCATCATGGACATTGAATCCTTGGATGGATATTGTTTTCTCTGGCATGAGGGTCATGCTGGACTAAGTGTCAACTTTCAGTAAAGTGATTTTGTACAGTGACGGTTGTACTGGACAAAACAGAAATGCAATTCTTTCCAATGCACTTTTCAATTCAATTCAAAATTATGGGATTACAATTGAACAGAAATTAAAAAAAAGGACATACGCAAATGGAGTGCAATTCATTGCACTCTACAATCGAGCGGAAACTAAAAAATAAGGTTATAAATAATGTACCAGCAGATTATGTGAATGTTTGTCAAAATGCTCGTATAAATTCGAAACCCTACAAAGTGTAGCACTTGGATCATATTTATTTTAAAAACTTTCAAGAAGTTCAATACATCAGTTCCATCCGTCCTGGCAGAACGGCAGGTAATCCGAGTGTCTCAGACATTAGAGCACTTCAATATAATGAAAACTGAATTTTATTCAAACTCGGGCATACAGAGGAATGGTCGCCTTTACCTTTTAGGTTGAAGAAAAAAGATCAGAACATCTGGAATTTAGAAGAACTGTCGTTGATGTATCCGCCTCGCATACTAAGCAAATCCAAAAAGTTTCAATATTTAATGTACCTTGAATCGTCTATTCTTAAGGACTCTCAATATTTTATGATAATTTACCACATTTGTAAAATGCTTATTTCTTTGTCTTTTTTGCGTCTTTGAAGCTTAGTTTTATAAAATAATTTAAGTTGCACAATGTATCTCTTGCTGACAACACCTTGCACAGAGAACGCAAATCTCCTAACTCCCAATTTTTTACAAATAAAAAAAAATCAACATTATTTTCTCGTATCTAGCAATAAATAAAAATAAAATATTCCTGAAACTAATTTTGTTTTACTAATTCTTTTTTTCTGGGAAGTTTTTTGTATCTTCTGAACAATTTCGGATTTTGGAGTTAGGTCGTTTGCACCGTATAAATGTATGACAGATTAGTAATAAATATTAACCTGTTTTCATTTCTTTGAAGTTTTCTTTCTACCCATAAAACAAAATGGTACTCCATATTTGGCGACTTTCCTCTAATGGCATCTTCTCAAGTATTCATCGTTGGCCTGTCTGGGTGAGTGTTTGGTCCGTAGGTTAGTTGAATATGTCTGGTTTCTCAGTAAAGAAAGTTACAGAAAAAAAAAGAAGGCATTCATTGAGTGAAGCAGCTGGTCAGAATAAGACAATTAATAACCTAATAGAGCTGCGACAGTCCCCATTTAGGCCCATTCTCCACTTCTAAGCACACATTGTAATTAAAACAGCCTAGGTGAATGCAATCCAACTGTCTGATAATCGAGTTCGGGCACATGACTTGCTCCCTCAGGGCCCCAATCGTATAGCCCCTGTGAATTGGCCAATCGGTGGGTGAGTCGATGCGCTATCGAAAAGCCACCGCTACCTTCCAGTTGAGTTAAAACGATGATCACTTGGCGGGTGAGGGGTGGTACGGAATCCACGGTACGAAGAGTACCTCTGAAAAACGTAAGGGTTTTTAAGGTTACAGTTCATAATTCTTTACAAAAACTTTCGTATGGGGTTGGGTTGTTTTTATCTGAAATGCTTATTTTATATGGAATGTGAATTATTGTCGTGGCTTTACATCGTGGAAGCGGAACGACATTTCTATGTAAATAGCGCAATGGGATATCAAATACGTATTTCCAGCAAAGGTTTGAAAAAAAAAATGTGATGTGCATCGGCATCCAACCCAAGCGCCGGGAAGGTAAATCGAGATGTTTGTTTACATGACGGATTAAAAATAAAAACAAAAAAGGAACACTTCTAGAGGAATAATGAACTTATCGATGTTAGTTTACGGTGTCTTCAAGATCCTGCCGAGGCTTCGCTTATGTTTTTAAATTGTGTTCATCGTATGCAACATAAGTTTGCCTTACCCGTGCAAAGAGCACATCCTACTTTTCGCAGGTTGGTGCACAGTGAAAGATCTTGACAGCCCCAGACGTTGCAACATTTCGGTCGGTACTTGAACAGACGAGGCACATTGCTTATGGGCAATCGGCTTCGTCGAATTTTTCTCCAAACCAAGAAAAACGTGCTTTCTCTGTGCCAAACAAAACTGACATAGTATGCGAACACCGAGAGCCTTACATCAATGAATTACAGAGCCTCAAGGATGTCAATTTTTGGCGCAGATGAAGAAGAAGGGGACGAAGGGTGCAGATAATTAAGGCCCTCTTGCTCCGCCTTGCTAAGGTCAACTTTAAGCTAAGCTGCACCTCAACTTCCGTGTTTTTGTTGTACCAAATTTAGTGGACCTTGAACAGATCATTGAGCGAAGTCTAATAATTTATCTGCTTACGGAAAATTTTCTAATCTAAAATGTCAACTTGTCAGTTGGAGATTCTTATGACTTGATCTACTCACCACTGTGTCAGGTTCTTAGTAAACTCAAAACTGGGAATATGGAAAGTTCTTACAATTTCTTCATCAATTCAAGTTTGATCATGAAGCGTGATGCATTTCACCGAACTGTTTGAATGCCTCTCAGGAGTGCAAATACTTTAGAAGGTTTTTAAAGTGCTTAGGACAAACCAAAGGAAGTACAAGATGATATATAACTTACTCCAGAAGCGATAAGGCTCGATTTGGCGTGACTGGAGAAGTAGATGATTTGTTTTCGCTGGCAACTGCGTAGCCGAGGACGTGAGCACCTCAGGGGGTGTAGCTTTCCTGTTCCTGAAAAAGTTTGGATGCCACCGAAGGTTCGAAGAGCGACAGCCACGGGTTGGGAAGTGCTGCGTGTTTCGGATGGTGACCCATTCGTCTACGAGCTGGACACAAGGGCAGCACATCATCAGCCGCCGGCCGATCAAGTAATGTTGGAAGTCCTTCGAGACCTACGGCAACACCTTGTGGCCTGGAACGTCCGGAAGCTGACGATGCCGAAGCTGGAATGTGAGCGAGGTGGACTGGATTGCAGGGCGTCGAAATCCTGGTATGACGCGACGCCTTTATAGGGAGAGGAGACCACGGTGCCATACCACTTCCACAGAACATCCAGATGCATCAAGGGACCTACCTGTTATTATCTCCATGTTCCAGGGAGGGGCCAGTGTAACGCCAACGTATCTAGAACTTTGAGTAACGATGAAACGTCCTCGCAATATCAACCCTCAGGCAACCCGAGTCACGCTACCGCACATCAATGGTGTTAGAGCTTGCGTCATCATCGAGAAGAATCGGCCTACACATCGAGAAGTAATGATCGACATCGTCTAAAACTCCGCTAATGCGCGGGATTGCTCTGTTCGCCAACTTCAAAATAAATATTCAGGCACCTCCACCAGAGGGACAGTGTAGTGGATAGCGGACGATGAATGGAATAGTCCATTCGTCCTGGTTATAAATTTGTAGAGTGATAAATTAGACTTTCAATGGCAAAAACGGTGTTTTCGTTACAATATACATAGGAATAATAATACTCTGGCCTATTTCAACAAAGCATTCCAGTGTCCTCGCTTCAATATTACAGGTACAGTAGAAACGCAAGGTTCAAGAGCCTCCATGTTATGGTTTCTTATATACGTATATGTAAGTTCGCCAATAAAACAGCGTACCATCGAACATTGCTTCTTGAAAATACGGCACACCCGCGGAATATGTATTAAATGTATATTCAAGAGTGTCTTACATATCTACTACGCTATTTTGAAATACTAGACATGCGACACATCACGTATCTGTTAAAGAGCTTGACATTACTCGTTAGTAAGGCATCTACCATGTGAACTAAATCTACGTCATTTTCTTATTCCTCTGCGTCAAAAAATAACATCTTTGAAGCTCCACAATTCATGAACGTGAAGGTCTCGCGGTTTGTACCCAATGACACTTTTGTTCAGCATAAAAAAAGGAACATGTTTCTTTGGATTTGGAGAAAATTCGCCGAAACCCATTCCCCATAAGCAACGTGCCTCGTCTTTCTTACAGAATGCATGGTTTCTGCAATTTTGCTTCTACGGTCTTGTTTCACCTTAGTTTGATATTTGAAGCACTGTTGTTTTTTTAAAAAAGGGAAGTCCACATTATCATAATTTCTCATCAAGCGGCACCCTTGAGTAATCCAGTATAACCTTACCTGGTAGAAACAACATTGTAGCTCTCTTGGCAATCGCACTTAACGTGAATCCACTTATTCTCGTGCCGATTTTCCACCATCACTACCAAACCAGCCCAACCTTTCGTCAGATAGTAGGCTGTCATGCCCTCCCTACCTTCATGACGCTGCCCTCTAGCGAGTGTCAACGAAATTATGGCGTCCGCTAGAATGTAGTTGGGAGGTTGGACATTTTCAGCAAGCAACTTCTTCGAACTGTGGATAGCCAGCACGTACCTTTTTCAAACAAAAAGAACACATCTAGTGAAACCATCATCATGATTAGGTGGCGTTTCCAATAAATAAGTTCAGATGCCTTCCGCCTTTAGTTGGGTACTTCGACAACATTCAAGTAAACATGACTCTTTATACTTTATTATTATCTAGCTTTCATCAGGAGCTCCAATAAGATTGAGAAGCAATAGCAACTATTGTGCAAAATGATTTTAAATTACTTACATTAGTATGTGAGATTGTTGCTAAATGTTATTAACGGTTAGGTTGAGGGAAACATTTAGCCGCCTGGTGAAAGTTGGATCCATGGTACATTCATTAAGATTAATATAAAATACACAGCTGTATGTCATTAATACATCAAAACGTATTAAAAAATATTTAGAACGAAAGTTAAAATTACATCGTGAACCACCTGATGTTGCACAAAATGGTGTGCACAGGATCATAAGCAGGATGAAACATATGACAGAGGTTGGTGGTGTCAGTGTCGATGGATGGACGAAACTTTTTTTAAAATGTGTGCTATGTTGCCAAATCACTTCAGATGGTGTAATTTATCAAGATATGTTAAATAAGAACTTGTCAACAGACCAGAGGCAGTTGAACAAACTATATTGTTGATGAGATGGGCAATTGAATCAAACAGTTATTATTTTATTATGAGAAAAAAACAATTATTCAAAATTTGATTGGAATGAAATTTTGGAGGGAAAGGGTGGAATTGACCAGGAAACCAAATTCCATTTATGGTTGTGAAAAGTCAAAATTTTGAGAGATGTGTAAGTGCTCTAACTTTTCGCAGTTTAGCAAATATGAGTAAAATTTCCAGGAATAAACATTTGGATAGGTGTTTTTCTTTATCAAGAACTTTGATACTTGTGTAGTTCATAGAGCACCCTGTGGTATTGACATGAGATGCCAGAGCACATCTCTCGGGATGAAGCCTAGAATCACTGTACTGTGATGAAATCCTTCCTGTTTGGAGATCTGGAAGTCTGACCTATGTATATTTGGTTGCAATTATTGCAATTGATAGAGTAAACTGTGTTGGTTAAGCCAAGCAACGGGACTCTGTCTTTCATCCTTGAGAAAATACAGTTTATAGTGAGGACGGATTTGCAAGCAATTCGACAGTTCAACGGGCTACATAGTCTGATTAGCTTAGGGGTCAGTTCCTTGATATAGGGTAGGACAGCAAAACCAGATCTGGAATTTGGGATGGCGGTTATATTGTTATTAGAATTGATGTTGTTGGAAGTTATATCAGTTCTGTTATTAGGAGTTGTGAGAATATTGTTTGGATTGTTAGTATTTGGCAAAATACTGGAAGAAGAGGTGGTTCACGATGTAATTTTAACTTTCGTTCTAAATATTTTGATGTATTCCTGACATACAGCTGTATGTATTTTATATTAATTTTAACCATTGTACCATGTATCCAGCTTTCACCAGGCTACTAAATGTTTTCCTCAACCTAACCGTTAATAACATTTAGCAACAATCTCACATACTAATGTAAGTAATTTAAAATCATTTTGCACAATAGTTGCTATTTTTTCTCAATGTTATTGCAGCTCCTGATGAAGATGGCAAAATCCATTCAAAGCTAGAGAATAATAAAGTATAAAGAGTCCTCTTTGCTTGTCGAAGTACCCAACTAAAGGCGGAAGCTTTATTTTTCACCTAACTGGTCTAGACGGCAATGACCGCGTCTTAATTTTTATATATATATATATATATATATATATATATATATATAGTATTCACAGTTAATTGCCTTAACTGTTAGGAGAAGATATCCTTTTCTTTGGGTATAAGGCAAAGTATTGCAAAAGTACACTCTTATAACTTAAACTCTCAAGCTTTAGAAGATCTATGTCTTCATCGTCTGGAGTAAGTCGGCGATATTGTTGCTGAAATTGTTTTTAAACAACAGTGAAGGGAACACATAGGGTCGGCCGACAAGTGCTGGATAATGTGGATGTTATCAGTGAAAAGAAAAGATGAAATCTCGAAGGAATTTTCAATAATTGATAGTTTTAAAATCTCCAAATTTCTTCCAAAATCAATCAACATTTAATTAAAAAAACCATTCAAAATGATTTGCCATTTAATAATAAAATAATTCCGTCCTAATCGAACCTCATCAGTCCACTTTTTTATTCGTCGACCATGTGTTCCCGTGACTGTTATTTAAAAACAATTTCAGCAACAATCCCGCCGACGTTCTCTAGACGATGAAGACATAGATCTTCGAAAGCTTGAGAGTTTAAGTTATAAGAGTGTACTTTTGCAATACTTTGCCTTCTACCCACAGAAATTAAAGGCTATATATATATATATATATATATATAGGTGAAAAATTAAAGCTTTCGCCTTTTGTTGGGTACTTCGACAAAATTTAAGCAAAGAGGACTCTTTATACTTTTTTTAATTCTCTCTAGCTTTCAATGGACTTTGCCATTATCATCAGGAGCTGCAATTACAATGATAACAGTAGCAACAAAAGTGTAAAATGAATTTAAATTGAATCAACTTACAGTAGTATGTGAGGATGTTGCTAATTGTTGTTTTCGTATAGGATGAGGGAAACGTCCAGTAACATGGTGAGAGCTGGATACATGGTACAATGGTTAAAATTATATAAAATATGACAAGACAAGTTAAAGACAGATTGAAAATTATTTAGAAAACATTAGAGCATTACGTCGTGAAGCCACTTGATGATTGCACAAAATGGAGGTCATGGAATAATGAGTGAGATGAACCTTTGACAGAAGGCCGAAGGTTGTCAATGTCTGTGTTGAAAGATGGAACGAATTGTGGGCGTGTGCCAAAACGTTGCCAAATCACCTGATGTGATTTTCAGAATGTTATGTAAGAAATTGTTAAACCGACCAGAGGCAGTTGAATAAACTATATTTTAATTAATGGGAATTTTAAATTAACAATTATTAATAAATCGTGAGAAGAGAATTATTAGATTTTGAGTGGAATGAAATTTGTTGGTGGAATCGGCCAAAACACATTATATTTATGGTTGTGAAAAGTCGAAATTTGGGGAGATATGTAAGTTCTCCAATTTTTCGCAGTTTAGCAAATATGAGTAAATGACACTCAGTTGTTTAATATCTGTCTTTCTGTTGATACAGTTGTTATTCATGAAAATGTGGGACATTTCCAGGAATAAACGTTTGGAAAGGTGTTTTTCTTTATCAAGAACTTTGATACTTGTGTAATTCATAGAATGCCCTGTTGTGTTAACATGAGATGCTAGAGCGCATCTTTCAGGATATATATATATATATATATATATATATATATATATATATATATGAGAGCCATTGCCAACGACCAGTTGGGCAACAAATACAATTAATTGTTAATTGGGAAATAGGCAAACTTTTTAGGCTTCAGTTAACTCTTTCGACGCTAATCTCTAGCCCTCGGCAATTCTCTATGGAGCCTTCATCAGGAGTCGTCGTTGTGAAGATCTTTCCGTTCCGTCCACCTTCTACACGTGAAGCGGATGTAGGAGGTTAGAAACAACTTTCCGGTTTTGTCCCCAAAATTGCCTCTCGTTAATTTTTTATATATTCGGGTGTATTGATTTATAGTGTTAACATCTAACGATGGTATCCGTCGTTGTCAATTAGCCCAATGTGTCCGTCCGGTTGGTTTTATATTTGTAACACGTGTTTTCATCTCCGCGTTCGTTTTGGAACACCATTTGGCTGCAGCCTCAACGACGACTCCTGATGAAGGCTCCATAGAGAATTGCCGAAAGCTAGAGATTACCGTCAAAAGAGTTAACTAAAGCCTAAAAAGTTTGCCAATTTCCCAATTAATAATTAATTGTATATATATACTACCTTGATCAAAAAGGTCCCGGAATTTATTAAAAAAATAAACAATACAAGTTTATTGTTCAAAATCGATACTGTCCCCTACAAAGTAGTCGCCATTGACTGCAATGCACTTATGCCAATGCTTGACCCAGTCCTCGAAACAGTTTTTAAACTCGATGTTAACTATCACAATTAGGGCCATCTTCGAGTTTTCCATTATCTCCTCTCGGCTGCTGAAACGGGCTCCTCTCAGTGGCTTTTTGATTCGATTAAACAAGAAGAAGTCACAGGGGGCCAAATCAGGTGAATTGGGTGGTTGTTGAATGCTATTCGAGTTGTTTTTGTCCAAAAACTCACGGATAATGATGGCACTGTGCGATGGTGCGTTATCATTGTGCAAGATGCACGAGTTGTTTGCTCACAAATGCTTGCGTTTTTGACGGATTGATTCACGCAAACATCTCAAAACACCCACACCTTGTTGACAGTTTGACCTTTTGGCCAGAATTCACTATGCACCAGGCCGTAGTAATCCATGAAAACCGTGAGCATTAGCTTTTTGATCGACTGGAATCGACACGGTTTTTTCGGTCTCGGCTCATCCGGCGCGCGTAATTCATTCGCCTGATGGTTTGACTGCGTGTCGTACTCATAAACCCACGTCTCGTCTCCAGTAATGATGCGTTTGATAAATCTTGGGTCCGAATCAGCTATGGAAATCATGTCTTTGGCGATATCAACACGGTCATTTTTTGCATGAAATTCAAGTCTTTTGGCACCAACTTGACTGCAACACGACAGAGGCCCAAATCGTTGAGCATAGGCTTTGAACGGATCCATAAGCAATGCTCAAGTGCGCTGCCATCTCTCTGATAGTTAATTTGCATTTGGTGGCCAACATTTTCTTCACTTTGTCTACGTTTTCTTCTGTTTTCGATGTCGATGGCCCGCCGCTGTGCTCATAATCGGCGATGGACTGACGACCGTTTGTGCATCGTAGCTGATGCATTTTCCTAGCATATCCAAGGTTTGCGTACCGTTGATATTGTTTTTGACACAAAATTTAATGCAAACGTTCAGTCAGATCCATTTTAAAAATCCTAATAAATCGTGAACACGCTCAAACGCACGTATGTACTCAACTCGACGTAGCTTTGACAAATGATAATGAAATGACGCCAAAATTCGTGGGGAATATCAGTGAAAGTTGGGCACCATAACAAGACAAACAGAATTGACAGCCGAGTGCTACGAGCGCCACACAGCGACCATTCCGGGAACTTTTTGATCAAGGTAGTATGTCGCAAATAAAGATCGACGTTTAGTCAAACCTGGAAATCATTGATCAAATTGAGGAGTCACCGAAAATTTTGCTGTTGGGTAAACAATATTATCCATCGCACATTCACTAGGCTATATACAGGGTGTTTCAGTTTATTGTTGCATAACTTTGAGATTCGATAGAACTTTTAAAAATAATGCATTAAGTCTATATAGACATGGGTCGAAAAATGCGTGGCTTCCGAAATATAGGGTGTTTAAGTTTACTTTCTAAAATAGTTTTTTTTAAATATTTCGAACAATATTTGATGTATAATAGCGAAAATTGGTATACAAGGTTTTTTTGGTACGACAAAACGAACCATAGGCATAGTTTTACTGTAGCCGCTAGAGGGCGCTCTCTACTGTACCTGTAGTACACTAAAATGACCGAAAATTTTTTCTTAGTGCAATTTTTTGCTTTTTGAATAAAAAAACTGATTCTTCGCACTTTTCAACATAAAAAAGCTCTCTTGTGAATTTTCGTTATAGTTAGCCGTTTTTGAGATATTTCGATTTTTAAGGTTCGATGCATTTTTAAATATTTATGATAAAATAAAGTTAAAAAGTCAGTATCTCGATAATTTTTAGAAGTAGGCTGTGCCTGCAAATATTTTTGCAATTGAAAGCAGAATAAGGTTAAACGTCAATTAGTTGACCGTTAGTTTTGTTGTCTGTTGAAACCTGAAACGGTTTTTTGCAATTGTGAATGCATGAAATTTAGTTTCTTTTACCTGTTTTTTTTGTAAGTTTTATAAAAATGCCATTTTCATTCTCCAATCAAGAGTTAGCGGATATTCATTTTGTGTATGGCTTTGTAAATGGAAACGCAGCAGAAGCAGCCAGAGAATACGCACGAAGATTTCCAAAGAGACGACATCCAACTCGCTCAGTATTTGTAAGAGTGCATCGCCAAATAATTGAAAATGGTTTTGGAAATCTCCAAAGGAATCAAAACATTAATGTTCGTCAGCGCAGATTTACCCGTATGATTCTGCGTGAGTTTGATAGAGATCCGACCACAAGTGTTAGGAGAGTTTCTGGTGCCTTGGGAATTTCAGCAAGCCATGTTCACCGTGTTCTTAGAAATGACCATAGACGTCCTTACCATTTGCAACCTGTGCAAGGACTACAGCCAGGGGACGGAGAACGAAGAATCACATTTTGTCAGTGGATTCTTGATAGAACTGATAATAATAGGGAGTTTTTAAGTAACGTTTTATGGACCGATGAGTCATGCTTCACTAGACGTGGAGTGGTAAATTTTCATAATCAACATATTTGGTCGCATGAAAATCCGCATGCAGTTCGTGAAAGAAATTTTCAGCATGAATTTAGTGTGAACGTGTGGATTGGTATCTACCGTAATCGACTATTTGGACCCTACCTTTGCCTGCAAGGTTAAATGCTGCAACCTTCTTGGAATTTTTAAAGGCTGAACATGCAAATATGTGGGATGATGTTATGATAGATTTAAGAAGATTGGCCTGGTTCCAGCTTGATGGTAGTCCAGCTCATTATTCGAGAATAGTTACAAACTGGCTGGACGAAAATTATCCAGAAAGGCCGTGGAGGACCAGTCGCCTGGCCTCCACGATCCCCTGACCTAAATCCATTAGATTTCTTCTAAAAGAAAAAGTGTACCAGACCCCCGTAACCACAAGAGATATGCTAATAGACAGAATCAGGAATACATGTTATGAAATAAGGCCTTATTTGAATAATGCTATACCACGTTCGATCATTCGTAGATGTGAATTGTGTATTGAACAATTGGGTTTATATTTCGAGCAACTACTTTAGATTTTGTATGTTTGTCGTAACTAGTCAATAGCATTTTAGTTGTAAATAATTAATTTAATTTGTTAAAAATAATATTGGAAAATTAAACAAATTAATATTCTGTTTTTTTGTGTTTATTTGGAGTTAGGAATTATTGATGTGTTTACAAACACAATCTAAACGATCATCTTAATAACGTGTAATGCCAAAATCCAAAATGTAAAAAAAAATATTTTCCCAAAATAATTAAAAATGCATCGAACCTTAACAATCGAAATATCTCAAAAACGGCTAGCTATAACGAAAACTCACAGGAGGAGAGCTTTTTTATGTTGAAAAAAGCGAAGAATCAGTTTTTTTATTCAAAAAGCAAAAAATTGCACTAAGAAAATTTTTTCGGTCATTTTAATACACTACAGGTACAGTAGAGAGCGCCCTCTAGCGGCTACAGTAAAACTATGCCCATGGTTCGTTTTTTCGTACCAAAAAACCCTTGTATACCAATTTTCACTATTATACATCAAATATTGTTCGAAATATTTAAAAAAAACTATTTTAGAAAGTAAATTTAAACACCCTGTATTTCGGAAGCCACGCATTTTTCGACCCATGTTTATATAGACTTTATGCATTAATTTTAAAAGTTCTATCGAATGTTAAAGTTATGCAACAATAAACTGAAACACCCTGTATAACAACAGATATGTCATTTAACCGAAAAAACTAGTACCTAACGCTAATTGCTAGGGTTTTGCTTGTTCTAAGGCATCAAGTTGAGATCTATGAACTGGTATCATTGTAAAACTGATGATCATTTTCGGAGATATCGAGAGCTCATTTTTAGTAAGCTAAGGTATTAAGAATATACCTTTTCTGGATATCTGATTGCTATCATGTATATAATTACAAATATTATATGTTGAGTTATATAAAACTTCACTTGAGAATTACATGCGAATACAGTAACTCATAGATATTTGGATGCAAATGGTATTACTCGACTGCATTCTTTGACAGCGAAGATTTAACTAGAACTTACTACTTTTAGATATATTATTCATCGGAAATACTGTGTTATGGAATTTTATATCAATGCAATTTTCATTTGCACTACCTGGCAGTAGCGTACATTTGGCAACTAAATACCCATATAATACTTTTTACAGAAAAAAGCTTTTTTGATTGAATGAAAAAGCAAAGCCTACACTATACATAATTTGTATTAGGAAAAGTGTTTCAAACAAATCAGGAATACAAAAAACAAGTCGATTTTACTAAAATTGTCGTTTTCCGAGTTACCAAGTTTTTCAAATCAAGGGCAGAAAAACAGAATTATTGGACAGACTAAACGTGATGAACATGGCTTTGGGGACAATAATGGTACACCGTTTAATTCAGAAGAGATAATGCATAGTGGGTTTTTTAATATTTTGATTGCTTCGCTTTACTTAAACAATGGACTTTGAGGAGGGATGACGATATCTTTTGGGTTTAACCTGTGGTCTGACTGGTCAGTACTGTGTCCAATCGCTTGTTGGACTGTCTACACCAGAAATATATGTACACCTAAAAATAAGCCTTTCTACTGACCTTGGATAGGCAGATACTTCGTCGAGGCCAGTATGCCAATGATTAAATGCTAAAGGTACCACAACGTATTCGCCAGCTTCTAACATTTTGTTGCACCCCACGAATCCTCTGACTTGCCTTTTACTATGCTCTACAAGATTTCCTATGGTTGTGCTAGCTCTTGCTTTGAATAATACTACACAGAGATCTAATTGGGACCTTTGGGACTTTTCGGACTTCCTTTGGCCCTCCTGAAAAACACCACTGCTTCAGAAAAATATATCCTAGCGTCAAACTTATATTTAAGAGCTACATATCCATAGAGATGATACATTTAACTACTAAACAATGCTTGGCTAAGCATGAGGGAGAACTGTTTTTAAGAAATACCTGAAATAACGTGAAATCCACTTCCGTTGGCTCGAGTATTGTCAAAAATATACATGACAGATGTTGCTGACTTGCCAGTGGAGGCAGAGTTCCTGTTAACCTGACTTCGTTCCAACCATTCCTCGCTTTACAAATATCTATGCAGTCAAAGTATCTTAGTACGTCCGGAAAAGATATCCAGAATGTTCCATCCATCGGTCTACAAATTAAACAATGTAACTTTGAATTTAAATTATCATGAAATGTTCTTACCCTTCGGGCATAAGTTCGTCCCTTAATTCGTGCGTCCAAAGCAGTGACTCATCAGACCAGTCACCTTTCCAAACAAAATGACCTACAAGTTACACTTCTTAGATGTTGCTTTGTATGTAATACTGCATATGCAACGTATAAAGAGTAAAACAATGATACAAACAAAAAAATGCTAATGGTACTCACCCCATGGATTCCTAAGTTTTAATAACCTATGGCCATTGACATCTCTGACGTCTAACAATGAATAAGCGTGACGTGGTCTTAGACCTTTTGATTGGTACTCGAGTTCATCTACTTTCATGTTACCCCCTCCACAAGATGCTCCCATCAGAAATAAGGCTTGACGAGATGAGAGCAGCCTAAAAACGTTCGCAGATGTCATTACTCAGTGTTCACGAACTACTCAAGGGTAAAAACTGTTTCACGAACATCTGCGGGATTAACAGCAACATTGATGCTGTTCATCAATACTTGGAATCCAACACTCCCGCCATGCTTTTCTTGGTGGAGATAAAAATCTCTGAGTCTGCACCGATTAATCATCTTAGCTTACCAAATTACGAAGTGCACTGCAATCTGAGAAAGAACGGGGGAGTTGTGGTTTTTGTCCGCAACAGTCTTTCCTGCTCCAGAGATGTTTCTTTGGATTCAGACTGGAAGGACATTCTGTGGCTTCGTCTTAACTCCACGACATCCCCTAAATTTATTCGCTGCCTTTATCGCTCCCCGTCAGACCATAACTGGGATGACCTACTTCAATACCTCGCCGTCAAGATCGACTTCCTGAACATCAATCACCCCGCTTCAGAGGTAGTTCTCGGTGATTTCAATGCCCATAATGAGCTTTGATTGGGCTTGAATAAGACCGATGCAGCAGGTCGAGCAGTTGAAGCCTTTGCTCTCACTCAAGGGCTAACCCAGCTGGTGGCGAGCCCGACTTTTTTCCCACGTCTCGTCACATGCCAGTAGCCAGCTGGATCTCTTTCTGACCACGCATCCTGTCCCCTAGAGCACTGCTGTCCTGGGTAACTCAGACTTCGATGTTATGGAGGTAAAGTTTCGGTCGGAACCCGCTGTGGCAGCAGGAACTCGCACAGGCCGCAACATTTGGCATTACGGACATGACCGCTGGGAGAGACTTCTTTCCTTGGAGATATGTTTGTTTCGCTGACGCGGATGCGTCGACCGTCTGTTCTTCGATAACCGAAACTGTCCACGTCGGAATGGAGGAATACATCCCCATACAGTGAAAACCAGTACGATATAAGAGTTAGGCACAGGGTAATGTCGCAGCGCAATGGCAGTCGGTCTTTCTGTACGCTGGTAAAGCAGATTGAAAAGAACTTCTCACACAGTAGCCTTCCACCACTTACGTGTCAGGATGGAACGATTGTAACTGACTCAAAGGCCAAGGCGGAAGTGCTTGCCAAGATCTTTGCTGTCAACTGCATAAATCGCGAGCTTCTGGACTACCTCGAACGTCACGGCTTGATTAGCGACTGGTTTCCGGCACCAGTGATCCTCAGGGTTCCTCCTAGCTTACGTCATGCAATTGTGGAGTAAATTATCATTAAATAAAGCGTTCGATCAGCTGTGACACGCTGCACTCTTATGCAAACTTCCATCCCATGGTCTCCCAGATAGGTGGCTGACTTTCTCTCAGGCCGCAAGATACCCGTCGTAATTGACGGGTTCTCCTCTTCATCCCACAACGTCAACGCGGGTCTTTCCCAGGGATCGGTCTTGGGTCCGACACTCTGTTCCTCTTACATATCAACGACCCCCTTTCCTGCACGATTAACAAAATCCACAGCTTCGCTGATGATAGCACTCTACATGCAGGAATTCAGAGTTACAGGCCAATCTCTGCCGCTGAGCTGGAAAACACAAGACCTGGAGGATATCACTGCTTGGGGACGCAACAATCTTGTATAGTTTAATGCTTTCAAAACATAGTGCTGTACCGTGAGGAACAAAAAGCATCCTAGTGATCATCCGATTTTGATGGATGGCCGAGTTATGCCAAAATGCCGTTCATTTCGGCTGGTCGGAGTCCAGATCTCCGAGCACGAGCATATCTTGTCAATAACGGCAGCTGCTGGGAAAAAACTAGGCTATTTGTTTAGGGTTAAGAAGTACTTTTCTCCGCATGACCTCACTCTATACAAGGCCCAGATAAGGCCTAAACTAGAGTAGTGCTCACACGTTTGAGGTGCTGCCGAACCCAATTACATTCTGTATGCTCGATGATGTCCAGAGGAGGGCTCTCCGACTGATCGATGACCCTTCTCTAACAGACAGTCTCGCAACCCTTTCGCACCCGCGAGCCGTCGGCGATCTATTTCTCTTCTATCGCTACACCAAAAGGCTTTGCTCCTCAGAGCTATCTTCTGTGATGCCGCCGCGCAATATGCCTGCCAGCCAGACCCGCCAGACTTTGGCGTCCCATCCTAACCGTATCGAACTTTGTACATCCAGAACTTGACGATACGACCGCTACTTTATCCCGAGGGTGTCGATATTGTGGAATAATCTACAAGAGGAAGCTTCTCCCAGTTCTACTAACCTTGGGCAGTTCAAAAATCGGATTAACCAAATATTTATTTGGGATCCTCAAGCAACCGCAGCGTCCCGGCATTTAGACGTGCCGTCAAGTAGAGCGACCCTATACTACTCACGGCTTCGTTACGGCATATGCAGGAATTCCAGAAATGTCGAAAAACGAAATTTCACCATTTTTAATTTTTTTCGTTTTCTGCCCGTAGCTCCACTGCCATTGGATCATTTTTCAAAATCCTATAAACATTTCCGCCCTTGGCAAGTAGAAATCGTGTGTTAAGATCTCATCAAAATCCAAGCGTTACTTTCAGAGTTATAGAGAGGTCTAGCGGTGGATCTTGTAGACAAGCCGATAATGTATGCAAGTCACATGCAATGTCCAAACCCCTATAGCCCCATGGGTATTTAGGCCTTAGGCCTGCATGGTGGCTTAAATATATATAAAAAATATCATCAACGTGGTAGCGCGGTCAGAGCATAAAAAACACTACGCTGTTGCAGAAATATGTCAGACTTTTTTAAAAAAATGATTATGATCGTCTGAAACGTCAAAAACGAGGTATAAGCGATCTTAACTTTTTTCGTTTTAGGTCTTTTTTTATGCCGTCACTGGACGAATTTCAAAAACTACAAAGCTCTTGCGTCCTTGGCATAGTAACATTGTGTAAACATTGCATAGAAATTCGAGCGGTAGTTCCCAAGTTATAGGGGGTTATAAGATTAGCAGACAGACCGACCAACAGACAGTCCTACGAAAATGTGTCGCATTGTTTTCCGTGATGTACAAGTGATATAACATCCAAAACCAAAAAACATAATATCTCATTTTCGAAAATTTTCACCAGTACCATACCTCCCTGCCAATAGGCGTGGGAAGTAAAAACATGATTTTGTAATATCCAAAAAACATACTAGTATCTTATTTTTGAAATTTTCCGCGAATACAATACTTCCTCGCCAATATGTCAATTGACGTGGGAAGAAAAAAGCGGGAAGCTTATGAAAGAAGCTTGAATGAATACTTACTGTGCCCAAATGAGATCCACATCTAGTTCTTCTTCTGCTGGGGCAGGTACAGATGATGCCTGCAAGGGTATACTTTCGCATGGAGCTCCTGTAAGCGTTGCTAGACCTTCTATCGCTCTACCAGATACCAGTGCTTCATAACACCCATGGATTTTAGCAACAGCTTTCTCTATTAGAGGCACCCAGAGCTGTTTCCGTTTTGCCTATTCATTGGATACATGTCACTGGTTTTAATCCTATCTATTCACATACGATTTTGCTATATAATTGCCACCGAATCTAGGGCTCTAGATAATTAATGGGTAGCTTGAGAATAAAAAAGAAGAGTCTGCTTTTAGCTCGATAAACATCAAGTAAATAATTACTGTAAGGCGAGAAAATACTTATGAATCAAAGGCACAATCTAGACAAGAAGCAAACTATCAAAATAGGTCAAAAAAAAAAGAAAGAAAAATACTAGTTTTCATAGTCGATGCTTGTTGTTTCGCAAGTTTAGTCAGACCCAGCTTAGAGCGTTTTCTAATCTTTGATAAATTGTCCGGTTTCATGAACCAGTGGTACGCCAAAACGTTATTGGTTACGGCTATAGACAAAGAAAATATTGTGATCGTGAAATCCTCAGATTAAGGAGAATATGTAGGCGTGTGTTTTTGACGACGTGTGATATTAGTAAAAACTGCAACGATTGTAAAAAGGTTGTGAAAAAACAAATATTTTTAACTGACCCAATAGAGGGAATTTATCATGAACATTTTGTGTCTAGAGTAGCAGAGCGTATTTTACCTGAGAATAAAATAAATGACCCCTTTTATCACAAGGGAAATAATCATCGACTAGTACTGTCGTCCAGTGTCCATCCTTACAGAGCCTGACTTGGTAGACTCCTTGAGGACAGAACTCTCTGGTTATTATCACTGCTCTGATGAGATCTTCGCGTTCAGCTAGTACTGCTAAAGCGCTCAATAACCAACAATTACCTAATACTCCTAGAAAAAATGAAAAATAGAATCATGGAGCGCGAGATAAAAGAAATGTAACTAATAAATACATTTTTTGAACTACAAACCCCTTTGGACTTGGGACAATCCAAGATAATATTTTTTCAATTATAGCCTCGTATATAAAAATAAAAAATGTATGACGAAAGAGATATTTAGCTAATTTCAAAATTGGTTTTGACCTGAAATTGTCAAGAATTTGCACCAAATATCCACTTTAAAATTGAGATTTGAATTAAAGCTAAATACGGATATGTTCATTTTTTGCATTTTGAATTTTGATAGGTCGATCTCGTAAGCTCGGTAATAACTTCGGAGTTATCGACAGAATAACCGTTTGAGAGGCATTTTTGTTGTTAGCATCTTCCAAGTAGGAAAGTAGAAGTCTTTCGCATGAAGTGTGATATTCTCTAATAATATAGAATACTCATTAAAACCCGTCTGTTATCCGCCTTATATTCCACCTAGGTAATGCTCGCAATACCACGAAGCGTTGTTCTGCGTACTCGTACTGGAGGTATCAGTCCAAAGTTTAGCCTATTTTTTTCTCTACTGTGAGACATACTGGTTGAGTTAATGAGGGATATTACCTTGCGAAATATCCGAAGGTGTAGGTCGCCTAAAAACAGCCCACGGCAGATCTTTGTAGTCCTCCACTACAATATCTCTCACTCTTTTCCATTTAACAACGTGCGCGTCTTTCATATCTTTCATTTCACCTGGATTATAATATAAACTACTGGGCATCGGAGGAAAGTCGTCATCAAGATAACTTTGTTTTTTTCAGTTTACAGTATCTTACTATGTAATTCCAGTGCTTATTGCTTAACTCCTACAAAAATGATTGTAAGTAACGAATTATCATGTTTAATCTATCTAAACTTTTCGTACCTCTTGAGATAACCTAGGAGGTTCCTTGGGATGCAAAGAGTTGACTTCTTCCCTCGTGCGTTGACACATATCACAGATTGTATAAGATTTGGTGTTTTCAAATGTGCATATTGCACATGTCCACGGTTGAAATAAACCCGAATATAAAACTGGAGAATCTAAAATAAACATAGAGAATTAATAATAATAATAATAAATAAAAATAAAATATCTTATTGATGAGAGGGTAGCTGAAAACAGCCGTGGAACAAAATCTGGCACCTTATGTGAATGAGTGGAGAAAAAGATAATGCCTCGGAAATAAACAACGTAAACGGGGTCACTGTTAAAGCACATGACTCCGCGTTCGGCAGGAGACTTGAGGTATCGCAGGAGGTATCTCTGGAGGTGTCTTCGGTCGTCATTATGCGAAATCCTTACCATTCATATGAAAAAACAAATCAGTGCTCAACTCGACACACCAACATTGGCAGGCACATCAAAGGCTTTTAACTTGCGTGAGATAATAGGAGACGGTAATTGTCTATTCTGATCTGTGAGTTTGTATCTTTATGGAAATCAGGAACAGCATGCACGGATGAGACGAGAAACAGTTAGCTACGTGAGAAGATACTGGAAAGACCTTAGACACCATCTCGTCGTCACGGACCCAAATGTAATGAAAGATGCAAGGAGCTATAGCTGCTATATGAAACAAAACAAAACATACGGAACCAGTGTTGAAATCCTAGCAATGTCTGATTTATACGAATTGAACTTTTACATCCATGCAGAAGAGGCCCAGAGGTAACACCTACATAACAGTTAACACCCGGCCGGAAGAAACCATCCATCATGTAGTCTCGGGCTGTTCTATCTTGGCAGAAAGAGAATACTTAAATCGGCATAATCTAGTTGCAGCACATCTACACTAGAATATATGTAAAGACTATAACAGTCGCGCCCAGGCGGTATGAACCTCGTCCAAGCCCAGTTGTAGACAATTGCGACGTTGTAATTATAGGGGACACGCAGGTGCAAACAGATAGGTCCATCAACGCTAACAAGCCTGATATTATAGTCAAAGACAAGAAACTCAAAAGGTGCCTACTGATTGATGTAGCTATCCCATCGGACTACAATATCACAAAGAAGGAGGCTGAAAAACGGCTAAAGTAGAAAGACCTCCAAATTGAGACACAAAGATTGTGGAATATGAAGACGTTCATAATACCAGTAGTGATAGGAGCCACTGGACTTGTATCTCACAAAACGTGTGAAGCCATTGAACAAATCCCAGGAAAACACAACCTTCTCGCGTTACAGAAAACAGTTGTGTTGAGCACCGCCCATATAGTGAGAAGAGTAATCTAGTATGTGGAAGCACCCTAGGCGCATGGTGTGCGCTCGGTGTTTTTACCAAATGCACGTATAGCATGGCTGTGTGAAAACAGGAAAATAATAATAATAATAATTTCGGCCTTATTAGGGTGAAACTTAGCCAAGTGCTACTCCTACATTTAACCCTGTTAAAAACGTAAAGCTTGCTATAATATCACTCTGCTAGTAGCATAGTAGCAATATTGCGTATTTTTTTATCTCATTCATCCGATTTTATATAAGTCACTATTACTTTATGTAAAAAAGTGATGTAGTGTAATTTTACAGTTTCTGTCCACATTCAGCCAACTACTCTTTTCCAACTTTGTTGATATATAATCATATTTTCTTAGTCCATAAACAAATCGAAAGCAAGAATTTTGCACTTTCTTCGTCACACTGTCCAGGTAGCTGTAACATAAGATGTCACAGTAATGTATTGTGGGCATGTCTAATGATTCGGATAAGCTAAGTACATTAGTACAAAGAACATGTTTGTATATAAAATTGTGAATAAGACTTTTGTATAATACTGTTGATATGATGATGAAATTTCTAATTTCCATCAAACGTTACACACAGAATTTTTAATTTACCTGTGAATTTTATACTGCCGTCTAATAACCTTATGTTAAGGTCTAACCTTATGTGATTATAAGATCTTCTTTTGACAAAACAACATTTAGTTACACTTACTGGGATTTAATGAGTGGCTACTTGCATAAGCAGCTATAGCACAGTGTGACAAAGCAGTCTGAAAATCGACAGTGAAAAGTAAAGACCCAGAATTGAGCGCTGGGGACAATTTGTTTACTTTCAGATATGTCAGTTCCAATTTTGACTTTTTGAAACGATAGGATAGGTATGACTAAATTCAAAGATATCAGTTTTAGAAAAGTCGAGAGAAATCAGTAGTGCAGCAGTTTCTCTATCCAATGCTCTGATTATATCATCAGTGACGCCAATTAATGATGTTACGGCACTGAGACCAGCGCGAAAACCAGATTGGTGCGGCAAAATTATTGATTGTTCATTGCAGTACTGGCATAATTGGTACTGGACTATTTTTTCTAACAGTTTAGAAGAAAGAGGTAATAAGCTGATTGGACGCAAATCACATAGATTCAATAGCGATGAGTTTTTAGATACAATTAATGCTTGCTTCCATTGTTTAGGTAAGTATCCCGATTCTAAACAATAATTATTGTGAGTAACGTAAGGTAGTATGGTTGACATACACATTCTGCCAAAGACTGGAATTTTCTAGTGCTGTTGAACATATTGATAGAATAATAATTAACAGTTCCAGTATTACCAAGAGGCTATTTATAACCACTAATAAAATAATCATTGTTTGCTTCTGTGACTTTAATGCGTTCAGGTAACTGCGTTTCACTGAATTTCTGAATGTTCATTTTTTTAAGAGTTTACAAAAATTGGCTTGGTCTTTCTGACGAGGCGTGGTTACCAAGTGCCATGAGATACTCGAATTAAATATTAAAAAGAAATGTATTACTTACTTCTGTCAATATCCGTGTGAATATTAACCCTACTCCTTTCTAATTTAGGATTAGGCACATTCTTCATTTTTGTTGAACTACTTTTGGTATCTCTTCTAGATCTGTAATAAGGGAGGCATCTTAAACGGATAAATGAACCAGACTATAATAACCGATGTGGAAGAAATTATATCCCCAGGTCTTGATAGTATACAATCAGAAATGGTAAAGAAGATTTTATCCGAAATCAGTAAGCCCTTGACGTATATAGCGAACTTGATAATTGAATTGGGAGAATTTCCAGATGATTATAAAGTAGGAGTAGTAAAACCCATCGATAAATTCGGTGAAAAAACAGAAGATACCAACAATTACATGCCTATAACTCTGATAAGCAGTTTTGCAAAAATTATTGAGAATAATCTGATTAATGAAATACAATTTGGATTCCAGCAAAACACGTCTACCAAGTCGCAATTTCATGTCATATGTCACTATTATGTCACTTATGTTCTGTAACTTGTACGAACTGCACGCATGTGTTCTGTGTACCTACTTCGTATTTAAATAAAATTGGCCTATTATAGCCATTTGCATTCCATAAGTGTTTTATACATCGACTCTTACAACAGTATCAATTGAAAAATTAATAGGAGTACTTTGGTTGGATTTCAAGGCTTTTGGTCATGTTAAATATAAAGCGCATTGTGGATGGGCAAATGATCACTTCAGTAGCTGGTCTAAAAAGTCACTTCGGTGCAACAATGAACTACTACCAAGTGCGATCGTTGAAGCACAGGCAAGCATCGAGGGCTAATCTGACGATTCGGCGACATAACAATGATAATATGACTATCAACGAAACAATGTCCTCAAGCCAAATTTCCTGACCGATAGTTGAGTATAACCCTCTTCGATATTTCGAATTTTATGTCAAAAATTGCAAATGTGAATTATTAGATGGTTATTAATTTTTCCTGAGCCTGGAGTCTTTGCCATTATATTTCGTACGGTTTCCTCAAAACGCGGGTGGGGTTTCTTCTTTAAAAGATTTTGTTGTAAGTTCATTCAGTTCGTTATTAGTATGCGGTAGTCTGAAAATAACAGAGAGTGAATTGTAAAAAAGCAGGTGTCCATCTTTTTCAAGCAGAAACCACTTATTATAGTTATATCCCCTTCAGGATCATAAATAACGGGAACTCCAACGTAAGGACTAGAACAACATATCCTGTGATTGACTCTCTGGTCCATCTTTCTTATGCAGTCCATTGAAAAACTACATAGTTTACTGGCGTTTATGCAGTATTCGTCAAAGTACAAATCAAATAACAGCGTCTGTGGTTCCATTTATTATATACGACAGATGGAATAGGATTTCTAAACTCCTTTTTCCCCTAAAAAAACGCTACACTGAAGATATTCAGAGTACTTAGGGTATATCAAAGATTTGTGTACTCTGTATTTTTGCAAATGCCTAAAAAACTAAACCGTACCGTACTATTGTCTTCAAAGTATCTTTAACCTGGAGTATCTCATACCCTTTTGTGGGCGGAGCTTGCGTATTAAGACTTTTCTAATATGTGCACAGTATGAATATCTTTTAAATCATATATGACACTCTTCTTCTGGAATTATTCATTTATTTACTATGGTTTTTGCATTCATAACGATCACTCACAGCGCATAACCTATGAAATTGTTGTAGTGCCAAACGATAAACTGCATATTTTCTCCAACTGTAGTGCGAATTAATCAAAATAAGCCATGATCAGTACCATGAAGGCAGTTGCATAGCTTATGAAATTATCCAGCTGCCATCCGACTGGGCTGCATTTCTGTGGAACTAATCGCAGCAGTGTGTGCTAAATAAAGTTAGAGCTGGCAACACCGTCCGGGTACCAACTGGCTCAAGAAAATTGATATAGGTAGTCCAATGTACCAAAAACAGTATAATATGCATTTGGATGCCAATTCTAGGAGTCCATTTAGCAAGGTCTCCTTACGGATGCCACCTTGGACGCCAAATAAATGTGTAAGTTATACGTCATTCATTCCCACGGACAAAAATTCATTCTTCTGTGGGTAATTGCAGTTCATTTACGTATAAGTTTGTTAGTTTTAGTTATGTTTGTACAATACGTGAATAAACATTATTTATTATTTCAACTCACCTGCCATGCCTAGGCGAAGGACTTCTCGATGGTGTTCGCGGTACTTCCAAGCACGCTTTCTCTGTCTTGCAGGCCTTACAGAAGGATGCAGTTAACGAGTTCTTCAACGTGCATTTTGCGCACGACCAAAACTCGCCCTTCTTCAGCGTCATGTCATGGCTGACAGACACCGAACGAAGTTTGGAGCCGTAGCAAGCCTCACAGACCAATGAACGATCGCTGTTCACCAAGGTGCACTTTTTGCAGGTCCATTTCTGATCGTCAACGGGACTGTCGCCTACTGTATTACAAGATGTCACATATATTTATAAGAAAGGGTAGGTTCACTTAGGTAAGACGAATCTTAGAAAATAAATCATATTTCTTTTCAATGGTAGATGTAGGGAAAACATGTGTGATTCACTATGTCTAACAGGTGCATAATATTAGTGCATATCAGAGCATCTTGATAATAGAATATATTTCACCACCAAATATGAAACAATTTACGACCATTTACTGTATACAGCTTGCAGTCTGCAATATTCAACCCTTTCAAACGAAGTCTCAAAATGAGCAGGAATCTGTGAAACGTTGTAAACTATATTCTGGCTGTTTTTATTTGTTGTCAGTAGTTCCGTCGCCACTGGATCAATTTTCAAAACCTACGACTATTTATAACCGATGTAAGCATTGAAATCGCAATAATATTCGAACTTCAACTTACAACTCTTCTGTTGCTTAAAGATATCTGCATCACACAACTTCGTGTCTCATTTACGTTGGCTTGTGGGTCCGTGTCTGTTGTATATCAATGCGCAATAAATACTGACTCGATCTACTTGAAGAAACATTCAGAGAACCATCTTACTAAGTAACACTAAAGGTTCGGCAAAATCAGTAGGTACATTTAAGGATCATAAGATTCATTTACAAAAGCATCGCAAAACGTTAAAGTGGTACATACTCCTAATAACCAATTATTACTAAAATATATAAGTATTCCGCTGTAGCGGAGTGTCCTTGAAGACATCGACCCAGTACACCAGATGGAGTTAGTTACCTATTACGCTTGGCACAGTCGGCAGTGGCCTCCAGCGCCGCGCCGCGCACCCAACGCCAACGAATGCAAGTTATTTACATACATCGGACATTAATTTTCCCGCTCTTACCGGGGTCAGAAGCTTCTTAATTATAAAACTTCTTTGACTGATACCAAACTAATCTACAAACTTCCAATCCTCAATTTTCAACCTCTACAACATTTTTATCGAAAATGATCAGGACCCTCTGAAAAGTCAAAAAACACGGTTTGCGAGTTTTTTATTTTTTCTCTTTTGGTGCCCCCACTCCACCGCCACTGGATCGGTTGTGAAAAACTAAGGCTTTTTCGTCCTTATGACTGTGTGAAAATTTCAGCAAAATCTGACGGTACTTCCCACTTTATAGAAGGATCAAGGATTAGCGGATAGACAGACAGACAGACCGACGAAAATGAATGACCTGGTTTTCGTGATGTTCATCTCATACTCGTATAACATACAAAAGCATGATATCTCATTTTCGACATTTTTCTCGATTACGCCAGTGGCGTAGCAAGTGAAATGAATAGAAACGTAATGTTTTTGTGTCACGTTTAGTGTATCACTAGATTGCCCTGAAGAAGACGTCAAATAAACATCGTAGCATCGGCTTTTTGGAAAGACACATCTTTGAACACTTTAATTATCCAAAAATTTGGAGACTAGGAACATGTTTGAGCGACTGGGATACGAACTAACTTTTGTTGTTAAGCACAAGAATTCCAGAAACAATAACTCTTCACTTACGAACATGTACCTTTTCACGATCGATGATCTCATTACTCTATAAAGAACTTGAAAGTGTAGGAGAGCATACAGGAGCGTGAGAATGAAATAAGGCGGAACCATTTACATTCACGCTTTTATTCGGGCATAAAACATTGAAGAATACGCGAGCTTGAATAAGAAAAACATAGAATGACGATCTCTGGAGTGGTCATGGATTGTCTGCAAAACTGATACAAGAACTGAAACAGCTTAAAAACTTCTCACATTCACTAAGTGTGTTGTTAGAACTTTTCGGCAAGAGTCTGGACGATACATAGGAAATTGGTTAAATGATGGAAACTTCAGAAATTTTTTTAAGAAGATTTAGATCAATTTTTAATAAATTCAAGCAGCCCCGAAAGCAAAGAATAAACACCTCCAAATGTTATAAAATGATTACAGTGAAAATGCACTAGTGCTGAAATTCATCAGCAGCTTTTTGGACTAGGCGCGCTATTCAAAAATGCGGGCGGACTAGCTTGCTAGCGGCGTCGTTCTACTTTAAGACAACGCTCGGCCTCACGTTCCGTCAAGAACATAAATGCAACTGGACGAATTTCTTTGAGAATTACTGGATCATCCACCATACAGCCCTGACTTAGCACCATCAGGCTTCTATCTTCTCCCAGACCTTAGGCCATTTCTCGGTAGAAAGCGCTTGGAAAATGATGACATGTTGAAACAGTTACTAACTGGTTTAAAGATCAGGTAGTAGCGTTTAAAAGATTATGGTGAAGTTGAAAAATTAAAAAAAAATAATATTTTAGTTTGTGATACAATTTGGGTTCGTAAATATAGTTTCTCTGACTCGATTAATAGACGATTCTTACTTAAAAAATTACGCTCATAATACGGTTCTTGGGATCACTAGGTGAACGCTATTGCATTTAAAAATCCAAATGTACCGCACTGAAACATGCGTGAAATACTATTTTAAAATTAAAAAAAGTAAAAATGTATATATCTATTTACCTACCTTGGAGCAACTGAAAATCATCATCGAGGTCCTGATCTAAGGTTGCAATAGGAACTTGAACATCACTCCATATAGACCTGAAAGCAACACAATTATTATAATACTATATGGTATATATATGCTTGCGACAGCTTGCGTACATTTTGCACTCTCAAGTCACATACGACACCATCCGGTGACCCGCCGAGTTTTGCACTTTTATGTGGATGGTAAAAACGTTAGCACCCATGATTAGAAAATTTTAGATATTTACGTTATGTGCTATTTTGCAAAAAATTGATAAAAAAATAGCCGGAAGCGGTTTTAGTATAGCCATATCTCAGATACTATAACATTTAATTTACCTCAATATAACCCTGATTCAATTTGTTACACTTCAATAAGAAATACGTTATACAGGGTGGTCGATATGTAACGTCCATTTTTTCATCTTAATCTGTTATGTCCAAATGTCCGCCTCTCGAAGCTGCGCAAGCATGAGCCCCCTTGATTACATTTTTCATCCCTTTTTGGTAGGTTTCGGGAGGAATATTTTCAATCGCTTCCGTAATATTGTTCTTCAGCTGCTCTACAGTATTTAGTTTGTTGGCATAAACCCTATTTTTCAAAAATCCCCATAAAAAGTCATCAGTTAACATCACCAAATCAAAAAATTAAACGTCCCGGAAATATTGTTCGCAAAATATTCATTGTTTCCTAGATGTGTGATAAGTTGCTCCATCCTGCTGGAACCACATGTTTTGCAGGTTCAATTGTTGGATTTGAGGAGCCAGAAAGTTTTGCACCATATCACGGTAGCGCTCGCCAGTGACAGTAAAAGAATTACCTGCAGTTCCAATTACCAAAGTCCAATGACACCTCCATACCAAACACCGCACCAAACTGTGACTCGGCGAGGATGTAGTGGTCGTTGATGGATGACACGAGGATTCTCTAATGCCCAGATACGACAATTATGCTTATTAACGAATCCGTCCATATCATCGCTCATTATCAGTTGTCGGTAAAAATCGATGTATGGTAGACGTCTCAGGCCGCTCCACTACACTTTCACGAACTCTCTCGATATTTTCTTGAGTATGAATAGTTTAAACACGGCCGGCAAGTCTTTAACTTAACCTGTTTGTTCAAATTTACGCACCAACTGACGAATGGTGTTGACACTGGGCACATTATTTCGACCGAAATAAATCTTGTCGTAGCTTCCAAATCGTTGCAACCATCGACTCATTATTCAAGTAAAACAAATACGGACGGACGTGTTGTGGGATCGTAAAGCGCTCCATGATGCATTGGACACATGTGTTTTAAACAACTACCACGGCGCCACTTACTGAAATGCGTGTATTAAAAATGGCGCGCAATTTAAATCAGTCAGTTATATACTGGCCAACCTGTATTAGGGTTACCTATCGACATCCTGGCTCAAATACATTTAATTCTAGTTCAAAGTCGTTACCACCGAGATGTTTTTTTTTCTACTCCCTAAAATATCATTGACTCTCAATATATTTCCGTGGTAAGGTGACCAACTCAATGCTAACAAGATTACAATTCTACCATATACTATTATTAAAAAACATACGTTGGTGATGGTCCGCTAATACTTCTATCCTCCGTCACAGTAACCGTACAAGGTTGATTCAACGATGGTGGCGATCTCCAGCTCTTGCAGATATCACATTTGTCTACGCTGAATCCGTTGTAGGCGAACGAACAATGTCGGCAGGTCCATCTACGTTCGTTTACTGACCATGACGACTTTGCAGGTTGGCCATTTTGTTTCAGCACTTGCATACTGCAACAACAATCAAGGATTGGATAATTAAGCTATTGTTGGCTGTTAGAGCGGTCCGTAGGATGTTAGCTCTTGTGTATCAGTTCGTACAGGCACAAACATAGTGGAGCAGAACATCTTGTCATTCCAATGCATCACCACGGCACCATTGTCTCTTCCATCTCGTACTTTGTTAAACACATTGTGGATATAACATTTCCATTGTTAGTGTTAGCTTTCTATGAGATGGATCTTTGTAATCATGGTAAAGTACGCGACGAGGTGAAATACTCTACTATGGTTGTGCCATAAGTTTGTCTTGTCTGGTAATCCAGAAACCAGGAATTATTAAAGGACTCAAGAGGAAACGGAGATTGAAAGGAGAAAAGCAATGAATTACTTTAAAGAAACGAGGCGATAAGGCAGTTCAAGCTCCATCATAAGCATTCGATTTTGATTGATTTTAACAATTTATTTTTACATACACTACTTCTACCGGCCTTGTTTTTTTCGAACTTGCTCTACTGTGTAGGTTACCGAATTTATGTTGTGTTGCAAAATTATATTGTTGAAAATTACAAAAAACACAAAGCTTGTGTTATGTACGCTATTATTCCGTGATTCAAAACATATATAATTTTATTTTAGTTTTCCATTAATTCAACTCTGAAGTTGAAGTTATTTTTATTCACATACACAATGCATGGCGATGCACAACTTCACATTTAAATCGGTCATTTCCAACGCATTTAGGCCCGTATCGTCAGTCGTCCCTACAATTGTAGGGCGCGTTTATGACCTCCTTGATTGTCATACTCCTTTCTCTCCTTCTAAAATTTCTAGATTACACTTGTCCCGTGTCAGCGTCAGCGCTCACCTATTGTGAAGATATGTTTTATTTTTAAATTGTAGGAAATTTCAGGCTGATAAAACATGATATAACTCAAAAGCAAGCACTATTTGATGCAAATAAATGTTTGTGACATAACAATCAAGGAGGCCATAAAGGCGCCCTACAATTGTAGGGACGACTGACGATACGGGCCTTAGACTAGGTAGAAGAGGACCCAGTCAATGATTTTTGTTTGTCATCTAATTCTCATAGTCTGTAATGAGGATCAAAGTGCACTTGACATAAGTCAATTTTTTTACAGTTCTGTCATTAAATTTGTATTTTTAGTATTATATTTTAAAAGTGCGAGTGTTTGAAGGTAATTGTGGTGTTAGACGATTTCAAGACATGGGCCTTCTTACATGATTTGGAAGGAACGACACAAGCCTTATGAAGGTAGATGTTTCCACCAGTAAGAATTATTATGTTGATACAACCTTGTCACTTTAGTAGGCATTGGTATATAAATATATACAAGTCAAAGATATGCACTAAAACTACGCAATTTTGGCGACAAACAAAGCAATCTAAACATATAGGCTTGGCTCCTATTCCTATTCGAATTCGTTGCTCATTTTAAAAACCACTCAAGTCATATTTTGATCACAATGTTTTTCTTGGCTGAATGCGCATTTTTACAAATAGTAGCGCGTAATAGACGTTCATTGCATGAACAATAACATAACTTGGTGAATTAAGTGGTAAGCCAAGCGCCTACATAGTGTCTAGCCGCATATACGCAATGCGGATTATTGGTGCTCTGTGAATTGGATATCCACAGTGTAAACATGTCCATTGACTAATATGATTGTTTTGCGTAAATTATATACCACTAAACCAATTTCTTGCTAAAATATCATAAATTAAGTTTTTGAGGTTGTTTGCACCATTATTATAGATACAGGTATTTTGATATTTTAGCCTTTTAAAAGATCATGTGACTTATGAGGTCTTTAAAATAACTCTATCTAGATACGTAATCGATGAACATAACATATAAGATGTATTTAAGAAAAATTCGAATATCTAAGAAGTACATACCGATTTAACTTCAAAAACAGCAACATATTCGTAAGCCTTTAAGAACTGCACTACATCTAATTAAATACTGAATCACCAAAGCTTTTTTGGTAAAATACGGCATTAATATAACTGATATAATAAAAAATTCAAGCGATACCGATATGCAGGCAACTAATTGTCCCCATGAAACAATTTAATGATATTAAAGTATACTATGTAGGCATATCAATACAAACACATGTTTATTATCGTTCAACACGATTATGTATTTTTAATAGGTTAGCATTATTGATTTATACGCCTAAAGGGAATAAAAAGTTTAACGGATTCACTGAATTTTTATATGCAGTAAATCGAAATGAACGTTGGCGGAAATCGTTAATAGATACTGATGCGATAGATAATGCTTATTGTGAAATTATCTATTTTTATCAATTTGAGTAGCTTTGCGCATCTCCACTTAGAAGGAAATGCATCAGCTTATCTTATTCGCAATACTGTCGTGTATCTGACTTCTGTAACTGTACAAAATATTGTAATTTCGGAAAATGCCGTCAAGTACGTAGACTCTGCACTTTGCCTGTGACAAAATACTCATGTTGTGAAGCTCGTCTTTAAATTCTCAATAGCTCATTTGTTTCCTGGATTAATAGGAAGATTGGTACCAGCCCGCTTGTTGCTGCTAGGTCTCATACTCTACTAGCAAAGTAAAAAAAAAACTTATGATGCATATGAAGCAAAACTTACATTCTATCATGTTGTTCGGCATTATATTCGTTCCTCTTTTGTGCAGCAATTATACTGTGATTTTCGTAAAAATGCTTATCTTTATTAGGCTCCGAGATTCCTATATAAGTATACAAGGTGCTATTCACAGTAGCTTCGTCGCTCGACATAGCTCTAGAGTATCCTTGACTACTGGAACAAAGAAAGGGCGCCAAGTGAATTAAGTCTGTACCTACTACGCAAGTTTGTCGTCAATGACCAATAATTACACAGGGTGTTCCGTAATTAAATTTACTCGTAGCTGGTACGGACCGAAACGTTTTCGTATCTGAAAATAAAAAAGTTCTAAATTCAGTTTGTCTAAGCACGAAAAATGTTCAATATCACATATCAGAGGCACCATTGAACCGATTTTGTTGAAATTTTACTCAACAGTTACCTAGGAGTAACGTAAAACAGAAATCCAGAGCCGGGCTAGATTTTTACACTTTTTTGTCTTTTATCAACATCAACATTTTTTTAGCTGAATATTGAAATGATTGACTATGTACGCAAGAACCAATGAATGGTGCTAATTAATTAGCAAAATAGATTTATTTTCCCTCTTTCAGTTTTTTTGTTAAACATTTTTATTTATTCAAATATCATATTTGGCAGTCTATGTGACACATTTCTTATTTCCTTGTATTTTATCAAGTGAAACGCCCTGTATCCTCAATTTATAATTGTTTCGCGGAAAAAGAGCAACACATAATATAAATAAATGTAAAAAATAATGTTATGCACCCTATTTAGTTTTTTAAGTAATTTTTAATGGTTTTTTCTACCAACTGATGTTATACGACATCTTGCGCCCTGCTTTAAAGGGCAAATGCATTGAATTTGACTCTTCAAATTAATTCACGACCATGATGAAAATCTAGCAAAACCTAATATACAGGTCCGAATTCAGCATTTCAGCTACGTTTACGTACCCTTACCACAAACCTACGTTAGATTTAGTTACATAACGCACACAAGGACGTCACACAATTAAATGCCAAGCCCGGATCACATAAGTTCTTGTGCTTGTTTAACATTTGAGCAGAGCTCATGTTTTTGTACATCAGTTGGCAGAATTAAATTAATAAATAAATTTCAGAAAAATTTTTAGGGTACATAACATTAATTTTTAATTGCTCAGGGGGTTGAACATGATAAAATACAAGGAAATAAAAAAACTACAAAAATCCAATACTGGAATTTTGAGTTGCCAAAACATTTTTAGTTTAATTTTAGGTATTATTTTGTTAAATTGATAATCCTTGAAATTTTGAGCTTTGTGTTATATAGACCGACAAAAATAAGATATTTGAATAAATAAAAATGTTCAACTAAAAACCAAGAGGAGCAATCAATCTATTTTGCTAATTAATAAGCACTATTAATTGGCTTTTTGTAAATAGTCGAACATTTCAATATTTAGCTTAAAAAGTGTTGATTTTGATAAAAAATAAAAAAAAAACGTGTTCGGCACTGGTTGTTTTAACCTTCCGACTATTTTTACGGCACTACTAACTTTGTTAATGTGTGAAATTTCGACAAAAATGGATCAATAGTGCTTGAAATATGTGATGTTGAATGTTTGTCAAGTTTAGACAAATCATCCTGTATATCCGTAAGCAGTAAATTTAGAGCTTTTCCAGTTTTAGACAAGACCTCGGACCATACTACCTACCATTTCACTATGTCCATTTAAGTACGGAACACCCTGTATGACAATACATTTACCACAGACATAGATATTGTCTTATTTTTTCTGTATATTACGCCACTGACTTATCAATTACTTCCACCCCTTAGACTAAGGTCCTGAGGGTGCCCATGCAAGGATTTGAAAAACAATTCAATAGCAGTAGTTAAATTTTATTTGGTTTCCTTATTTTTTGTATCCAATGGCACTTGCACTCCACTGTCATCTTATATATGTTTACAATATAAAAACTGAGCACACCAGGAGCAGGATGACGCAGCTATTGACCAGTATATACATATATCTGGGTAAACTCCATACCTTTTTACACAGAAAACAAAATTTGTCTGACGGCTTGAGTTCAATGTGTACGAGAGAGAAGCGTGTATCAACACATGTTAGCAAGAGATAGAAGCCGGCTGAAGAGCGAATGTCATCACCACATTGTCTAGCGACGGTGACGCAGAAGGTCGTGGAATCTGCCGCGTTTTCAACATGTTACACCAGAAAATGTTCGCACATTCTTCTACAATATGTCAGGTTACAGTCAAACCTAAGAAGGAGGTCTGTTTGAGTATTTGATTAAATATTTTGTTTTCATTTTGGTTGGAATTACTTATTTCAATTTTGATGCGCGATCCTGTTTTAATTTATTTTAGAATAAACTTTGACATCGAGCGGTCGGAAAAATAACAAATACCATTACGCGATTCACATTATCACTGCCTGCCTGTAACAAGGTGAAAACCATTTCGAAGCAGGACGTGACTCCCCAAAGAGCGCTAGATGGGTACTGACACTGACCAAAATCGTTCATCTATGATTATGATATCCAGCCAGCTTTTATTTTTTCCTAACATATGTGTCTATACACACTTCTCTCTCGTACATATTGAACTCAAGCCGCCAGATAAATTTGGTTCTCAGTGTATGTATGCTGAATTTTGCTAAGCCGAACAAAATGTAAAATCATTTTATTTATATTACTTTCTATTATTATCAATTTTCCAATTATTTTGCGATCACAATACATCTTCGCCAATTGGCGCACGAAGTAAGAAAGTTTGAATTTATACAGGGTGTTCCTTAATGATATGCGAATATTTCAGGGTGTGAATCTACATGAAAAATTAACGTTAGTTTACCTAATAAACTATGGTCCAGAAATGTTTCCTTACAAAAACTCGGGGTGTTGTTTTACGAAAAAAAAATGGAAATTAATTAATATTTTCAGAACCGCTTCAAATATTTCACTGATATTTGGTACGTAGTGAAAGTTAATAAAGTTGCATATTTTTCAATGCAAAAATAATTTTTTGCTTTAACAGTGGCGTGCGTACGGGTATTGACTTCGATATTTTTTAAGAAAAAAAATGGTACGCCAATGGTTTTTTACCAAATAAAAATTATTTTTTAATTCCCCGTTCAATTTAAAACAAATGAACTCACTTGAATTGTTTTCCTTCGATGCGCCATTTTTGAGTAAAAAAATAAAAACCGTTCTATTGTCTAACTTGCAAAATTATTTTTAATTTGGAAAAATTAAACACATTAGGGATAATGAACAACAACAAATGACAACATAAACATGACATTAAAACCAACGAAATGGTTACAAAAATTGTTGAAAATGGCCCCCTTCACTTCACTTCCACCCTCCTTCTCATGGAATTGCGCACTCGTTGAAATATCCCTGGAGTGTTTTTTATTCTATCACAAGCTGTAACTATTCTTTCTCTTAATTCCTCTTCAGTGTTAATGGGACTTGTGTACACTAGTGTTTTAAGCCCCACAAAAATAAATCTAAACTGTTGAGGTCTGGGGCAGCCAAGGCAACTGTTGTTGAAGAAAATTGAGGTAAGTCTGTCCGTCAAGTCCTCCCGGCAAGAATAATGGGCCAATAAAGTGGTTGATAATAATTCCTGCTCATACGTTAACCGAAAATTGGTGTTGGAAATGGGTTTCGGTTACGACATAGGCATTTTCTTCTGCCCACAAATGAATATTGTGGAAATTCTGAATATCAGTTCGAGAAAAATTAGCTTCGTCCGTGAACAGAATCATTGATTCAAAATGCGGATTTTGTGTAATTTTTTAAAGATGCCACTGACAAAAGGTCACACGCCTTGGAAAATCAATGGGAAGTAATGCCTGTACTCTTAAAATATGGTAAGGATATAACAAACAAACCACTAAAATTCTCCAAACAATTTGATGGCAAATATTTAAATGACTAGCGATCTTCCTCGTACTCGTTTCAGGATGTTCTTCGACTTTATGCAGCACTGCTTCCTCAATTTCAGGTGTTCTCACACTTAGAGGTCTACCTTCAGATGTTCCTTTTCGGATAGAACCAGTTTCAAGACGACGATGAATATTAGAAAAGGTTCGACTATCTGGCAAAGCACGATCGGGATATCTCTGGTGATAAATCCGTTTGGCATGCTCACCATTACCGTCGGCAAGGCCATATACGTAATTCATTTCCGCCATTTCTGCATTTGAATAATTCACCATTATTAACAAGATTGTAAAAACTAAATAATGAAAAAATGTCACAGCGAAGAGATTTGAATAACAGAGACTTGTCAGATGTCAAAAGCTAGTGACATATTCCAGAGCAACTAGATATTTATTGCTAAATTGCATTCTTCAATTATTACATTAATTTTCTCGGACAATAGAACGGTTTTTATTTTTTTACTCAAAAATGGCGCATCGAGGAAAAACAATTCAAGAGAGATCATTTGTTTCAAATTGAATTCAAAAATAATTTTTATTTGGCAAAAAACCATTGTCGTACCATTTTTTTCTTAAAAAATATCGAAGTCAATACCTGTACGCACGCCACTGTCAAAGCTAAAAATTATTTTTGCATTGTTAAATATGCGACTTTATTAACCTTCATTACGTACTAAATACCAGTGAAATATCTGAAGCGGTTCTGAAAATATTAATTAACTTCCATTTTTTTCCTAAAACCTCAACACCCCGAGTTTTTGTAAGGAATCATTTTTGGACCATAGTTTATAAAGCAAACTAACATCAATTTTTCATGTAGATTCACACCCTTAAATATTCGCATATCATTAAGGAACATCCTGTATAATAGAGTGTATTTTTCAAATCATATGGCCTCACGTGAGAGCTTTGAGACAAACGTTTGGAATGGCATCAGTTACACATGAACAGGAATTTTTACATTCTCAACAAAGACTGTTTATTAATTTTAGACCAAAAAAGAGGGCTAGACGACAACCTTACTTATTAGTGAGCTCAAGGGTCGCGAAAAGATACGTGGCTTTAATCTAAGGTTAGAGATAGCAAAGTTGTCATTTTCATATTTTATTAGAATTTCAAAATCACATAATACCTTTTTGTTATTCTGATGGAGCCGCGTAGGGGGACACTTAACCACCGATGCACCGCGACTGCTATAAGGGGCACCTTGTCAATCCGATTTCTGAACTGCCTAGAGCTGGGAAAAACCCCTTTAGGCAGGTTGTTCGACACTAGGAACAAAAGAGCGGTCGTACCGACCAGTTCTAAGTGTACGAAGTTCGGCAGAGTTAGGGTGGCGCGGCAGCATCACAACAAAATCCGTTGGCATAGCGGTAGAAGAGAGCAGGATCGCCAAACGCTTGTAGGTATGAAATGGGCCCGACGTCCGTTAGAGATGAGTAATCGAGCCGTTGGACACCCCTCCTCTAAACAGCACCGACTATACACCGTAGTCTGAGCAACATCATCCTAAACATGTGAGCAGTAAACGAGGACGGGCCTTGTACAGAGTGAGGGGGTATGCGGAGAAAATTACTTTCTAGCCCTAAACAAATAACTGTACATTTTTTCAGCAGCCATTGCAAGTGATGAAATGTATTTATTCCAAATCAATACCTAGGAGTAACAGTTCCGTTTGGAAGTTTCCTCAAAAAATACATAGTGACAAGTGACATATAAATCCGAACACCCAGTTTAAATGGTTTTATTTTAATAAATTTGGTAAATGTATTTATCTGTAAATAACAAGTGAAAACATTTTCAGCCTTATCAGTTGGACATTCCGGTTTTTATACTGCTTTTTTTAATTCACTAACGCTCTAAAAATGAATATTTCAGCCGCAGTAAAGAATCATACGTTGGCGGATTTTGGTTCTTGACATCCTTTACGATCGGTTACGATGCCTAGAGTACGGAGACCTTAAGGGACCGTTTCTCCACTACTAGGTCCATTGCAAATGAATGGTTTGCAGAACACGGAATACCTATTGGCATGCGAAGTGTTTACCGACGAATGAGAAGTTTTGGCTTGTTTTCATACCGGCCACACTGGGTCCTCCCTTTAACTCGAGAACACCAACGTAATCGCCTTGAGTGGTGCAGACAACGGTCACTCTGGGATCAGGAATGGAACAGTATTGTCTTTAGTGACGAGTCTCGATTTTGTTTAGGCATGCACGATGGTCGCGCCAGGGTTAGAAGGCGACGTGGTGAAAGGAGGAATCCACAGTTTTTTGTTGAAAGACATGTTCATCACACTGTTGGAGTTATGGATTGGGGTGCTATAGCTTATGGTTCCAGGTCACCTTTAATCTTCATCAGAGGTAACATGAACGCGCAGCGTTATATCCACGAAGTTCTAGAACCCCATCTTTTACCCTATCTTGACACCCTGGCAGATCCAACTTTCCAACAAGATAATGCCCGACCACATGTTGCAAGAGTCACAATAGACTTCTTTCAACATAATGATGTCACATTGTTACCATGACCACCAAGATCTCCACTCTTATCCCCAATTGAGCACGTGTGGGATATGATGGGTAGGAGATTGCTCAATTTGCAACGTCCTCCTCAGACTCTAGAAGCACTTCGAGAGGAGTTGGTGGTTGCCTGGAATGAGATACCACAGGAGGACATTGACCACCTGATCAGAAGCATGCCTAGGCGCGTTGGAGAATGCGTAGCACATCAGGGTGCATCCACAAATTTTATTAAAGGTCAAAGGGCTTTAAAGCAGTGCAATCATTTTGAAATTTTTATCATTTACTTATTATGCTTCATTAAGTACTTATACAAAATTTTATTAAAATAAAACCATTTAAACTGGGTGTTCGGATTTATATGTCACTTAGTATATCTATAGTATTAATAGTGACATACCAGTTCTCTAGAAGGGAATGATGTGAAGATTGAATATCAGTCATAGAGCTGCTAGACTTGGGAAGGCTCTGCCCTTCCAAACTTCTCCGGTTGATGTTGACGACGTGAAGATTTTGTGCGGATGGCAGCTCAGATAACGACCTACGATAAACCGGTTTGTGACCATAGGTCTTCAAAGATTCGTTGTCTGCCCAATTATCAACCTGAAATAATTAGACAATTTTTCAGTAACTGAGAGAAGCCTCTTCCAGGGTAATTAAAAAAACAATATTTCTCCAGCAGAATGTATATTATCAAAAATAACAGATAGTTCCTATAAACATGGGCCCTAAGATGTCCCATTACCAAGATACAGGGTAATGAAAATTTATATGCACTGCTGGGACTCATTATGGACAAATAACAATGTAAGGTCGACAAATTGTATGAGATTAATGCCAAACTTCAAAAACTTCAGCAACATTTCAAAGTAAAATATATTCAAGTTTTTATATGGTTTATCTCCCAAATACGCAAATCATTTTTCTCCAATAGGAATGCCCTGATAAATATTTCCCAAGACAATTAATGCAAATTTAAATCCCTTATTAAAAACGCAGTAGTCCTTTCAGAAAAGTAGGGAATATTTTTCTGTTCCATACTGTAAGGGTCAAAATATCCAATTGGGGTAGTTAGAGCCGCAAATAAATTTGTTTGTAATTCTTATGGTAGCACTGCATTTACAACGTTTTATCCATCCTAGAAATGATATATTTAATGAATTCTAAATTATTGCTCCGACACCCTGTATATCGGTAATGGCCCGTTTTCACGCTCATGCAAACCTGCGCATGTGAATTTGCACAGATAGAACTGAGCTAGTGTAACTACTTTAACGTCCATGTTAAAATGCAGTATATTTGAGATACGAATGTTAGGTGATTAGATTAGAAATTTAAATAAAAAGTTACAAGTTTCATACAAAGGAGATCAAGAGAACCACAGAAATCGGAAATGGGTTGACAAATGAACCATATGATTTTTGCAACTACCCGCGTACGGACTAGACAGCTCAACCAGCGTTTATTGAATTTTATTGCAGAATAATAAGAAATGACACCGTTATGAATCACTCTATCGTACTACATGAACGAGTATCTGCATCTTCGGATTTTCGGTATCAGGAAGAAGCTATGAAGATTTCAAGTCTTCATGTTATTCCCGATGCGCAGTTAGCAATATACGTTCTGAAACGTGCACGACATCTACAGTGCATTCAGAAAAACAGTATTTGAAAGCACTGCACAGACGTGCGGCATGAGTCAAGTTGGACGTCATTTATACGTACATGTATTTGCGCCAACATCATGCAAATTATCTGTTCAGTCATATTTTACACAAGCCCAGCATTTTGGCTGATGCAAGTGTAAGTTTACCATTTTCACATAACGATTTACTTAATAACTTCACCCAAATGCAAAGGGCTGGTTTTTATATATGTCGTAGTTTTATCGTAGAATTGCCCATTTCATGAAATGGTCGGATTCCATGAAATGGGAAACTAAATTTGACCATATCGTTGATTGTCAACATTTAAGGGTTTGGTCAAAAGAACGCTTATTTCTCGAATACCATTTTGGCGTAAAGTCTTTTCATCCCACTTTCTTTATAATTTAGTATCGAATTATTAGCATGTTCACTTTGAAAAACAACTTTGTTTTTAACGGTCACCATGTTGACACGTAAACAAAGGTCCTTATCGCCCCTATCTGTAATTAATTTCATAAAATGCGAGTAGTAGTAGATGTTCGGCTATAAATTGACCTCTCTCTAACTTGTTTGTAACATGATAGAAAAAGAAGTTTCATACAAGAATTATTGGATCTAACATAAACTTTTGCATTGGATGCTTTTTTGTATGCAGGATGACTCAAAATATCCTATCGAATGAAATTGTACTTTTTTAAACGAAACACTGTTCGGTAGTAATGACACCCTGTATACAAAAAACACATTGCCTCAAAACTTCTATATTAGACTCTACACCCTTTATATAAGACACATTTTTCTAAACGCTCATACAATGGGAAAACATCGTATAGCGGGACACCTTTAAATTATGTAGCAATATATAGCTTAAGGGAAGTGTCAAGGATTTGTTTGTCTACCTATTCTCCTAGCATACAGTGAGGATCAAAGTGCACTTGATAGAATTAAATTTTCTAACAGTTCTGACATTGAATTCGTAGTTCGAGTGTTATTTTTTAAAAGTGCGAGTGTTTGCAGATAATTATCGTGTTAGACGATTTCAAGAAGTGCTTACATAACTCGTAAAGAGCAGCACAAGCCTAATGTAGGTAAGATGTTTACATCAATAAGTGTTATTATTATGTTGATACAACGTTGTCACTTTGGCACGCATTAGAAGACAAATGAGCCAAACGTATGTACTAAAACTACGCAATTTTAGCGATATACAAGGCACCGGAAGCATACATACTATAATATATACGTAGTCTTTGTCAATAATGCCCCCTTATAATCTTTTGAAAGGGTCAAGTTAGTGTAATGACTCCAAGTTTCAGCTTGCTTACTTTATTAAGTTGATGCATGGCTATTATATTTTAGCGTAAAGTGTCAGTTGAAAATTTGAAGATGGCGTCTGCGTGCCATTTTGGACCATTTTTTAAATGGAATAGGGGTCATGTGAGACCTCAACTTGAAGCTCTTTATACGTACTTTATAACCCTAAAATGTAAAATCACCATATCTGAAAGTAGCGAACTGGCAAGCCATCAAAGTTGAGCGTTTTTGTATACTGAACGGCTTACGAATCAAAAATCGATCATCAAAATGTTATAGCATGGTACATATAACTTGAATAACTTTTCTTTTCGAAAGTCTTTTTAAAAATTTTATTTGCGAGAAAACCGAGTACAGATAGATGTTCGTGGATTGAGTTCTGAATCGAGACTGTTTTAAAACTACGTTATACAATACAAAGGAAGGATAAATGAAATATAATACTTCTAACTGATAAACATGAGTCGCAGTGAAAAAGTGCTGAATGGGCTTCATCTTCTTTATAGACTGGTACATAACTCCTCCACCCCTAAAATGAAGCTTCTCCTGGAAGGTGAATTTCGTTCTTCTTAACATATTTCTTTAGTTGGTGGTGCAATCTTCTTTTCTAGTATGATGTGTGGAATTTGGACCTTTTTTCATATCAGCTAGTTCAACGTCGATTTCTAACTGGCACTGCTTCTTGAGTTTCCATCTTCTATATAGCATTATACAGCAAGTGCTTAAAATTATAAGATATAGAAATATGGTCCAAATACTAGGTTTTCCATAACTGTCCATGGGAATTCCTTCTAAAATTGGTATCATTCTATTAGCTTGGAGCTCAGGCAAATTTAACGTTTTCAAGGTAATTTTCGTTTCTGGGATATTTTGTTTCATAAAATGGAAGTCTATCTTGTCAGATACGAGGGGTTTTCCATAAGTTCTATCTTGAAAATTGATTTCATTGTCTTGGAATATCAATGGGCATTCGCAGGCTTTGACTAAGAAAATGCCAAGTAATGATTTTGTTTCGATTTGCTACCTGCATTTAATTTGCAATTTTTCTTCAGTAAGAAATACTGCTAGATATTGATTAATCTCTGGAATAAGTTCTATATGGTTTCCTTCAATTTGAAGCTTAGTGTACTGACATGGCTCTGAACTATCTTCTACGATTACTGATTTCTCACACTGAGCTTTATGATTGACTAATATACGATTAGGACATTGGTGGATTTTACCTTGGGTACAAATCTCGTGCAGAGGTTTGATCTCATTTTGATCGGACTTTAAAAATTACTTAAAATTTGGGATAATAGTAACAAATTCTGATTTGTGCATCATAGTCGGAATCGGTAGCATATAGTAAAGATCAAAATGCTCAGGATAATCTATAGGAATAGATAGAAAATAACTTATTTGATTTTCATCAATCTTACAATTAATTGAAATTATAGATTCGTAATCTAGCATATTTTCATATTTTACTTCATTTGGCAATTGATTTTTATACAATTTTAATATCTTAAGAAGTTCTTGGAATAAATCGGTAGTCTTTATTATACTAGGATGAATTGTTTTCAATTTGCAATAAGTTATGGAGTTTTCAATATCTTGTAAAATTTTCAATATTGCGTTAAGAGGATAATTAATTGGTTAACAATGTCCTTTGCTGAAAGTATATCTTGATGTGTTGTCTGGTTCAACAAAATATGTTTTAATTGTAAAATATTGTTTCTAAGTATCACTTCATTATGCTGTATATCTTGAATGGTCCCATTGAACTTTGCGACAAGTTCATTGTTTACTGAATATTGCATTATCAGCTGATTTTGTATATGATGCTCATTTTCTTGTAAATGTGCAAAAATTGTATTAATACGTTCCCCATCATCAGAGTCTAAATTTCCTGTCATTGCTTTTACTACATAACCTATGCCATTAAAAAGTTCTCTCTTAGTACGAGATTTTTGTGTATGAAATTTTATGTATTCGATTTTCTCTTGAATCAAGCTCTTCATATAAGATTATCGTAATTATCAAGCTACTTATCAACTATAGAATAATTTTTATAGCTATATCTTAGGTTACTGTGTTGAAGATTCAAGTCTTCATATTCTTTGTATAAAGGGGATAAATCATAATAGTGCACAAAAGTGTTCCGTCTTTTGCAACCTAGCTGTTTCTAAGCTTATCGGCAAAATTCCTAAATTACTGGTTATACTCCTTATTTTTGCTCCGTGTCTGAAATAGAGGAAGTAATCTGAAATATTAGTAAATTTGAATTGATATGTTTTCTTCTTAGGTCTCTTAATATTAGATAAATGAATATTTTTGGTAGTATTAGCGTGGGTGGGATCTATCTCAGCCTTTTTTAATTTCTCATCTACACTAACTATTTTTTCTTTCTTATACTTATTTTTAAGTTTATGTTGCTTTTGCTTATTCTTAACATATACCTTGGTAGGAATAGCAGGCAACACTTCGCATTTCTCGTTCGCTTTATTTATAACCTTTTCGTTATTTTTTAATAACTTTTTATTTAAATTCCTATATACGTATACTAGTTTCATTTTTTCTTTGTTATTTTGTAAATAATTGTTCATCAATTGCTTATCTACATTTATATTAAAAGGTAATTCGGTATTGAAATGCCCTG